TCTGTTGCATATTGGTCAGTAAGAAGTTCAAGTTATCAACACTGGAGGAAATATAGCATGTCATAAGCCAAGAGCTGTGTAGGGCTTCCACCAATTTTGTGCTTGGTTTTTTTCCCCCTTTTTGCTATCTCCCTAATAGCAATTCAGCAAAGCATGATAAATGGGTGCTTCTGCTTTTTTAGCTTCTTATCCCATGCCAGTCCACCTCACTGGCTCCTTTTCCCCTTTTCATGTGGGCATGGCCTCTGCTTGGTCTATACTAGTTGGGTCAAAGATTTAAAGCAAAACTGAGTGGGAGCTGTTAAACCACTTGCTGACAGGTGGCCAGGATGTCTTGGGAAGAGGGACAGCTGATGGTGCAACAGGAGAGCAGCAACAACTTAATTTTTCAGGCAGTCATTTCCCTCTCCTACCAGTATCTCCTCCCCATTCATGCTCCAACTCTATACTTTCTCCTTTTGATCTGACTTTCTTTCCTTTTTAAGAAATATGTTGATTCTGCTTGTATGGGTTTAAGTTTTTCTATCCTTAGAATTTAGAAATTTCACCAGGATGTATCTTTCTTTTGTATCTTTCCTAGTAGATCCTTTTATATCTAAAAATCTGAGATGCACATAAGGAAAGGGTCCTTCTATTTTTCTTTCATTACTACTTTTCTATGTTTCCCTTTTTCTTCTTCTGGATCCGCAATTATTTGTATATGGGTACTCTTGAACTAGTCTTTTTTTCTGCCCATGATTTCCCTTTTTGAAAGTTAACTCCTGATTACATTTCATCTTCTAAAACACGAATTCAGCTCAGCAATTAACATGCTATTTTTGCATTTACATTCCTCTAATGACTATTTAAAATGGGAAATCATTATGTTTTAATTCCAGGAAACTCTGGTCCTATAATCCAATCCCTTTATTCGAGTTTTAAATCACATTTAATCTAGATTTTCTTCCATTTTCTATATTTGCTCCATAATAGAGACCCTTTATGGTTTTCTAGTTGGTTCTCTTTTCCTTCTGTCTAGCTGCCATGTTCACATTGTCTTCTGATCCTTCTCAGCCTATTCACAGGGATAGCATTGTGGATTTCAACCCCTCTGTGGATCTCCCGATTCCTATGTATCAACAATCAGGGTAGGCATGATCAGCTTAGTTCCTTTGTCTTTGTAAGTGGAAGAAGGCTTCTCCATTCACACATCCAGTAAGGATAAGCTGACCTCCAGTCCAGGTGGGAACTATCCCTCGTAAGATGTCTAAGATAACCCAAAGGACAGTTAGCCTCTGTCATTGCTGCAGAACACAAATGGCAGAGACATTCCTGCCTTACTTTCTCCACCCAAGTCAACTGGCTCTCCCCACATACTGCCTCCATAATCCACCCTACATCAGCTGCCAGCAATTGGTACCCTCTTACTTCCCACTAGCATTCTCTTTCAAGGACTTAATGTCTCACTGTATATGGAAAGTCTTCAGATTGCCAAGATCAGCCCTCAACTTTTTCTGGATGGTTGTATGTGCAAGGATAGGTATGTGAATCCAGGTCACCATCTTCCCAGAAACCACATCCATATGTTTTAATAGCATTAGAAAGATAATGTGTTATTACAAGATGAAATTATACTATTATTGCTTCTGTAGCAATAAAATATATGTGGAATTTTGTAATAGTACAAAAATAGATCAGGATGGGATCATATGAACACATTATATATTTTGTAATATTCATTAAATGCTCGTTTCTGACTTACCAGTCTCATCATTCATCCAATTTTGGCAAACTGGCTCATATTATTAGATAATTTTTCATAAAAGTAATATTAGCTAACATTTACTAGGTGTCAACTATGTGCAAGGTGCTGAAACAAGTGTTTTGAAGGTACAAATTTATTGAATCCCCACAAAAATCCTATGAAATAGGTACTATTGTTTGTAATATATAAACCAAAGCCTTCAGACGTTAAGCAACTTACCAGAGCCATGAGCTTAGTAAGATGCTCTGTTTTCCTGACTGAATAATGGGTGGCTTAAACATAGCTCCTATAGATCTCTCTCTGAATCTCCAAATGTGCTTAGCACTCAGGTCCCGAGTAAATAAACAGCTCTTCAGGGAAGAAACAATGTTTTACTCATATTTGGTCCCTAGAACACAATGCTGTAAGTGAATGCTTCAAAGTATTTTAATTATTAATGAAAGTATTGACAGGCACTGAGATTTCAAACACAAATTCACATAAGATAACCTAAAGCTATTTACAAAAGACCTGACTCAGCCACTAACCAGGGATCCATAGGTTAATAAAAATTACTTCTGTCCTTAAAGAACAAGTAATCTAAAGGAAAAGCATACACATTAGAAATTAAGTACAATAAATCACTACTGTTTTTTTAAAATAAATATGTAAAGTGCTATGGGGCCACAAATGAAAAAAATATTAACTTTTCCAGGAAAATCATAAAACTTTTCTTCTCATTAATCAATAATAGAATCATATATAGAAATAAACACTACTTTAAAGTTTTTTATAGAATGTTTATTGCATTAATCTATAAACTCATTTGGTGATGTAAATGATGATGTAAACTAATTCTGATGAAAGCTTATCATCTTTGGAAGATAGAGATATTTCAATACTGAAAGCATTTTGTTCACTGTTATCAAGTAAATTCTAATGTATTTTTGTTTTGTTTTTTTTTTCCTTTTAAAAATACATATTGTAATTTGGTCATATCAAAATGAAGCCTAGACTAAATATAGAACTAGAATAAGTAGATTCAGTGTCAAGATACCAATAACAAGGAGACTCTAAATGGGTAGCTTGCTGTTCATCTTCAATTAATAAACAGGAGTCCATCACACCTCGTGATTCACACTTGTATATCTATGTACACTTCCATGACATAGAGCCTTTATGAGCAAACTATCTCTTCAATATTTACTTTGAATAATAGACACATTACCCAGAGATTGAAATTTTGCTATTTTAAATAACACAAACCGAAAATGAAACTTTTAAAATTATTTTGTCTTGTAAGTGGACTTGTAATATATAGGAATTATAAAAGGAGTTGTAATACTCTTTTTCAACTTTTTGAATGTTCAAGTTTAAAAAAATCCCAAGAATGGACTACTCCTATGTCATTGAGGTCAAATGTCTACATTGAGGTCAAATGACCACATTTTCGTCAAGTTGTTTGCATTTCTCACAATATACATACCACTCAGGAATTTAGTTGAGACAGGTTATACTACTCTATTATAAAAGCATATGATTGGTTGGCCTAAAATTGGTGAATATAGGTATCATAAAGAAAATGCTAAACACATTAAACTCTTGTTAACATTACTACTATGTCATGAGAGAGGAATTGATATCAAACACTGTAAATAAATGTGAGATTTTCCTTATCATCATAAAATTAACCACAAATAACATCTTTTTCTTATTAAAGAAAGCATATGAGTTATCATTTGGGAAAGTTTTGATGTATTTATACATACACATAAATAATTTACAAATTGTCTGAGATATCTACTTCTAGGGAAAGAATAATAGTTTGGCTCACATTCTTATATGGTTGGCCTTTGCAAAGTATCTCCAAACTTACTCAGTGCTTTGACTGCCACAGAATATAGGAGAGAAATTATAACAAAATATCTAGAAATTTTACTTCTCAACCACTCCAAATATTATTTATAATTTTGTAATATCCAAAGTGCTAATGTGTTCTGATGCTTGAAAATTTCGGAGTGAATTCTGATGAATGAGAACTGCTGCAGTACAACACTTCAGGCATCAGGCAGCCTTTAGAGTACACACCTATTGTCCAGTCTCTACGTAAGTTGCTGTTACCTTTGCACATGAACCTTTCCTTTCTTAGTAGTGGGATGAGAAAAGAAGTAGGGTTTTCTTTTATCTATCTCCAGGGAATAATGGGGAAACTGAAATTTACAACTCTGAAGAGACAATCCTTAAGAAAAAGAAGGGGGAAAATATCTTATTATTATTATTTTTTTTATTTAGCAAAAAGGATTCCTTGTGGCTATTGACCTACACATGTTTTGATTCGATGCCTATCCCCAGAGTCAAAGATCAGCCAGTGGTAAACAATTGGAACAAATAGTTTCTAAGTCATTTTCCAGGCAATTTCTTATTTCCATGAATTAACTTCAGGGTTCCTTAAAGGAAACAGCAATCAAAGGAGAGAGTGTCCTACGTGTGCTTATTGTGTTATCCATCTGACCAAACTACCATCCCAGATGCAGGTGTGTGGTGTGAAATAGCTGATATTCCAACTCCAAAACTGTCAGGGACAATGCCTAAGGACACTACTGGTGGAAGGGGTGCATAATATATAATAATCAAGTGACTTAGACAGAGGGTCATGTCTTAAAGTATTGAAGACCACCGAATTTCTCTTATGAAGTTGCTTCCTCATTCAGCCTTTCATCCCATCTACTTACTCCTATAGGTTAATGAAAGAGAAACTGGACTTCCTGCATCATATAGGCACTCTCACAAGACAACTACCTTGAAGTAAAAAGTGTTATTGAGTAATTTTGCACAAGATGAACATCTATTCTGGTTTGCCTGGAACAGTTCAGATTTAAGCCTAACACAGGAGCATTACTAATAATGCCTTAATTTACTCTCAAGTGTCCCATTTTGGATGGTAAATTATATGATGACCACAATGGAGGTCTTTAGTAAGACTAGTCTGTAGTATTCACTGCTCCCCTTCCTGCTGGTTTAACTAAGACTCAGGGAACCAACCGATCAAAAGGAACTCCATTTGTAATATTTAAAAGCTTCTCTATTTCCATTAAAAACCATTCACCTAAGTTTACTATACTTTTAGTAATGACCAGTTTTAATAGATTGAAATGATATATTCTCATTTCCTTTCTCCAAAAGAAAATAGCAATACACTTTATCAAGCAAAAGATGAATGGCAATGATGCAAAAAACAATGAACATATAATATTTTTTTCATTAACAATCCAAACACTACAAAACATGGAATATACAACTTAATGAAAATACAAAATTAATGAAAAATGGGGTACATATCACATTAGCAATGCAAAAGACCAGCTTAAGCATAGTTTATCTAAATCAAAAATTAATAAAAGGAAAGTGCCCGTTTTTCAAATATGCACAAAAATATTTCGGTCACTTCTAGGGAAAAATTAATCAAAACTTTCTGCTAATTCTATATTACAGCACGTATTACTAATGGTTTATAAAACTTAAGCATCTTCTTACACTTAAAATTTACAACCTTTACCAATCATTACACACTCATTCAATCCAGTCTGTCAAAAATAAAATTATTTCATTCCTATGTTTATGAAATAATTACTGATATGTTATGAATGCCAGGTGGTGACTATGTGTGATGGAGATAGTGATCAGAATAATGTCATGGATCTAAAGTGGGTCAAGGGTCAAAGAGACCACCTCCACCTGGAATATCTGTGTGTTGACTTCTGTCAATACTTCTACTATTTCTAAAATAATTCTCATTCCAAAAAAGCTAAAGCTTTCATACTTACATTTGCTATCCTCTTCTAGTGTTCAAAGTGTATACAGTCCTGCCACATGACAGAGCTTTCCTACTCCATTTATACAATCCCTACAATTCTGAGTCCAGCAGAAAAAAAAAATAAGCAGTAAGACTCAATCATATGCCCCTTGTCTTCTGTATGTTTAGTGATTCCCACTTTTCTGAAGTAAATTAATGATAAACTGCACAATCCTAGGTATCATTCTATAATGCAAATGAGAAAACATATTTAAAATTTCCAAGAATAATACCAGTGTCCATTGCAACCCATGTGTCAAAAGAGTTCTGTAAGTTCATGCTTTTAGCCAATGCCTTACAATAATCCATGCCTCTTGAGTGCAGTTCTAAAACTAACGGCAGTTCTAATCATGTCACTATCTCCTTCGAAGCCACCTGTACAGAAAGTACCTACGATCGGTATCAGCCTCAGCTTGAGCTTTCTGGTTCATGTTCAACAACTGCCTACCAAGTTCATTAACATGCACCAAAGGTGGCAAACTCGAGGATGGAGAACTGAACTGCAGTTCTGGAAAGGGTTCCAGCAGTTGCTCAGTGGTCCTGTGGTGTCATTCACTGCTGCTGCTGCTGCTGCTGCTGCTACTGTCCTCTCGCTTGGGAGAAGATGAACTGTCCCGGACTGGTAGCAGGTCATAATGGCAAGGGATGTGACTGTTCTTTGGGAGGTCATATGGATCCTGGGTGAGATGCCCATTATTGCTGAATATTCCTTGGACGACACTCACTGTGGGTTCTGCAATAACACATTAATTTATTAGCAAGGGGCATTTTAAAAAAATATAGCACTTCTTGCAAATATCAAACACACAAGATTCTTTCATAAAAGTATAAGAAAATACTAGTTTTAAAAATCTGATCTTTTATAATCACATAGGGTAGCAGCTCTGAAGTTGTTGGATCAACTGAAAAATACAAATGGTGTTCAGAACAAAATGACGAGGATGTGGTTGGGGTGAAGGTATAGACAGAATACACAGAAATCTTGGAGATAAGCCATTGTCTGAAAATCTACCTTGAGCATAATCTAGTTCAAACCACTGATTCTACAGGTGAGAAGACCAAGGTCTTTGGAGTTTAACTCAATTCAAGGAAACAGTCAACATATTCACAACTTTAGGCCTCAAGACTCAACCTCTGAGATGAGTTCATAGCCTACTGTGGTGGGCTTTTGGGATCATTGAAAGGGGAATTATTATTGACTTAAAAATAAAATCAGTTCATTACAGTTTCTATTTTTAAAAGTTGTGTTTTTACTTAAAAACAAATTGTTTTTCTTTTTTGATGATGTGTCTATGACATAAAATCAATTATTAGTCTCAAATTGGACAATTCATTTGCAAGTAATCAAAATTATTTCAAAGTCATAAATACCATGAAAGAGAGAAAGAAAAAGGGAAAAAATAAAATATATAGCTTTACTATTTAAGCCAGTGATGGCTGTGTTGTTTTATCCTTTTCCAAATGGTATTCACAAAGGGGAATCCAAATAGCTTACAATAGCTACAATTTTAAATTGAATTCCTACTAATTTGTATCAGTCACATCTGAGAATATTACTGATAAATCAGACAAGTTTAAAATAAAATGTTACAATCCTGCTAAAATCATTATGTTAATATAATGAATAAAACCAGGAAATAGAAGCCTCTTTCTTAATCCATTTGAACTATTTGTTTTAGCTAACTCAATACATTAGTTAATATGATACATATTCTRTTCCACATATATGGTAAAATATTTACCCTGGTTACAAAACACAAGATGGATGACCAGTTGGAAGATAAGGAAAATGACTTTAAATGTGCTAAATGGTTTTTTTCCTGGAAAGATTCTTTTGACATCAACTAATATGATCACTGCAAACACAGGTTGCATCTAAAATATTGGCCACTTACAATTTTTCCCCAAATTCTTATGCACGCAGTTCTTTCAATGGTTGGGAGAACTCACCAACTTCATAGACATTCTTATTGGCTGAAGTTGAGTTATTGATCTCTGCATATGGGGAATCTCTTCGTGCTGGTGACTTCATCTCCACATAGCCACACTCRGAGTTTTTAGGGAGAAGTACAGGTGGGTCTTTAATAGTGGCATAAGGGTTTTCAGAACTGCTTAAGGAACAGTTACTTGAATTATATTCAGAATTCTTTCCCAGATCTATGAAGAGAAATGAAAGGAAAAAAAAGTAAATTCTGTTTTATGGACAACATCATTTCTAGGTGACAATTTACTTGGGCAGATTATTTTTTCTTCTTTAAGGTGAGGTTTCTAAAATTTTATCTACTGAAAATAATCCTGCACATTTTCCACTCGTTTTTCAAGATAATTTGTTATAACATCACCCATCTATAAAGTAATATGGTTCATCTCCAAGGGGAGTAGCAATAAAAATGCCATGGACTGGATTTCATTTTGATGATCACAATTAAATATTATCAATCTCATTTTGATTCACTAAAAGAAACTTTACTGATTAAAGCCTTTGGATTTTCAAAAGGAATTTTCAAAAGCTTCACTCTAGAAATCAGCTATTAATGACCACAGGAGTATGAGAAGCTTCTGTTATGATGAGAAAGGGATTTGTGCTGTGAAGATGCCTTGTTAAGACTTCAGTACTGGGCACCATATTTCTCAAGCTCATCCTGAAGAGCAGATCTTAGTCGACATATATCCATAGTGATCTCTTCTTATTTTCCTATATATTTCCTATTTTACACCTCTCTCCCAATCATTCATATTTTTTTCCAAAGAAAAAATGAGTATTTCCTTAGCAAACTGAAAACTTTGTTCCCTAAGACTTTAATAAGATTCACCTATTATCACCTTTTGATGTCAGTCAAACATGTTTGTGTGTTGGTGTTATTGGTTAGATATCAGGTGTTCCTCAAACACTCATGTGTGAGATGACACAGGAACACTCAGAGGTCAAGTGATTTGATTATGAGAGGTGTAACCTATTCAGTGAATTGATCCACTAATTTGRATTAAGTGGGTCTAGTTAGGTAGGGTGTGGCTGGTAGGGATAGGTCACTGGGACTATGCCTTTGGGGTTCTTTGGTCCCTGGTGAGCTAAGCTTTCTCTGTTTCCTGATGGCCATGTTCTGAGCTATTTTCCTTCACCACGCCCTTCTGCCATGACRTTCACCTTGGGCCCAGAGCTGTGGAGCTGGCCATCTGTGAACTGTGACCTCTGAAACCGTAAGCCAAAAAGAAACTTATCCTCTTTATGTTGTTCTTGTCAGCTCTTCTGGTCACAGTGATGCAAAACTGAGTAAAACAGGTGGAGTAATCATTTACATAGTGACAATCCTGKATTATCTCTACCCTATTACTTGTTTAGAAAAGGATTTCAGTCTTTGAGATAAGTGGTGTTTAAATTGTGGTTGAGATATATATATATATATACCAAATATATACCATACCTTTTAAGGATTTTCCCATATAGCTTCTGTCAAGTCCAAAAGCACCTATGATGAAGGAAGAAAACAAAAAATCACTGAAAGGAAGAAAAAAACCCATCTAATGTTCCAAACACAAGGTGCAGGGTGTGCACCTATATCTGACATTCACCTGTTTATTTATAAGGACTTAGGGAAAAGCTGTTGATTCAGCAGAATCTGAGGTACAGAGATGATCCAATATTCTTGATTCAAGGTTGCATAGTAGAGACATAGCTAAGACAAAAACTTGAGAATTCACTCCCAAGGGCAGCTCTTTCAAGGCTCTGATAGTTTTCAAATTGTTTTCTCAGTAACCATTATTCAGCTATATCATTGTTTCCACTATAATCTCTTAAAGAATGTTATGGACTTAGGTTAAAAGCAGAGAGTAATGACTTGTGATGAGCATTATACATAAGTATTGAGAGTTTTAAGAAAATGATGCTTGTGTACACGTCTCTTAGAGTGATGTTAAACTCAGGTTCTGATGGTAATGGCTACTGAGCAAGGCATGCTTCTGTAAAGAAAGAGGGAGGCTTCCCTTAAGGAGGAGGGTATGTGTAATTTCAATGACTATAGGATAAGACAAGGGAACACTTTCTTCTCTAGGTTGTAAAGAGTCTAGCCTGGCTCCTGGTTGGTGGGAGACTTACAGGGTTATACAGGAAGATAGTTTAGAAGGATTTATAGTAAAGAATTAACCTTATCAAAAGAGAGGTCTGACCTTTGCCTTTAACTCCTGGGAGGTGATCCCTATGTCTTTGGATTATCCTGCCCAATAAAAGTGTCTCTGCTTACATGGAGATTACACTAGATAGCCTAACAAAGTAATATATGGTTGGGTCATGTGACATCAGCTTGACCTCAGGAGGGGTGCAAACTAAAGATCAGTCACATGCGCAGGTGATCATATCCACAGGACCAAGCCCCCCAAATCTCTGGATACCAGAACTGGGTTGAGCTTCCCTGCTTGGCCATACTCTGTGTATATGATCACATATTTTTGCCAGGAAAAGTTAGCCCTGTCCACGACTCCTCTGGGAGAGAAGAAATTATAGCATCTTGCTTTGCCCTTTCCTGAACTCTCCCCCAGGGTCTCTTCTCTTGGCTTATTTTAATCCTTATTCTGTGATAAACTATAACTCTGAGTATAAGAGCACTCAGTGAGTTCTGTGAATCCTTCTAGCAAATTATTGACCTGAAGGATAAACTTGGTGACCTGTAAACTTACAGTTGGATTTAAAAGTGAGGGTGATCTTGGGGGCTTCCAGACTTTGTAGAGAGACCCCCATGGAAGGGGCAGGGCCTGTGGCCTCTGAGAGCTGCCATAATAGGGAGCTCTGTTATTCTTTCCCTAATTCCCTGACCATCTCCAAACTATGGAAAGTCTTACTAGCTGTCCATCTTGGTCTGAGCTGTGCAGTGGCTAGACTTTCCCAAGGAGACAGAAGAGCAGCATGGAGTGGAGAGAAAACAAGGAAATAAGCTGAAGCTGTGAGACCAGCCACCCAGCAAGATTCTCTCTCCACTGACTTGTATGACCTTGAGCTGTTTTACAATGGAGCAGGCAGACTTCCTCATAAACGCCTACATGTACCAATCCCCCAGATGCGTGCTCCATAGATCCAGAATTTTCAGTGAAGACAGTATGTTCCCAACAATTAGTCCCTAAGGTGTTACTGAGACAGAAAGGAGAGATGTTTATAGGACCAGTGAAGTTATTACAGTAATTAAACAGAACAAAAGGACCTTTGTCCTCGTTGCCATTGGTTGGCATCTTACTGAATATCAATTCATATACTTCTTTGGACTAAATTATAATTTAGACATTTAAAAATCTCTTTTAATGTTAAATGATTTTTACCAATAAGCATAATATAAATGTGATATATGTATAATTGTATTGTGTCTATAAATACAAAGCTGTTGATAATATTGGTATAGAATGCAGATGAAAGTTAAAAATTTGCACTCACTTTTCTACTGAAACATTTCTATTTCTACAGTAAGAGGCATCCTTGAGCCCACAGGGATTGGTTCCTACATTCAGTATTCACAGAGAAGCAATAACCAACTCTGAGCCCTAGCTTTCTTCCTTACCTTCTTTGAAATTTTGGACAATAGAGTCAACCCCTCTGTGCTTCCCAATTCATGCACTTTTAGAACAAGATTTGTGGAATGCATGCCCAGTAAGATTGCCAGATTTGTGCAAGGTGAGGTGCAAGGTGATGTATATCACATTGTGATGTACATGTACCTAACATAAAGTTGGTCAGCTTCTTTAAACACTTGATTATTTTGATATAATCATTCTGTACTGAAAATGAACTACTATGTAAATCAGTTAAGTTTGAGTTTTGACAAAACAACAAGCATGTTTCATAAATCTTTGTGATGCATTTGTCCTAAAAAAATATTTGTTGTTCATCTGGGCTTTCTGGCAACCCTACCACCAAATAAATACATGAGAAAAGGTTTCTTACCACTAAGGAATGCACACACATATTGGAAACTGTACCACAGTTTTCAGGAAACTGTGAATCACAGTTCTTTAAGTGTGGACCAGGTACTCCCAACTCCTTTTCAGATGATGAAAACTTGATGAAAGTTTTCACTTGATGAAAATGATTCTCATAATAAAATAAAGATCTTATTTGCCCTTTTCACTCCAATTCTCTTGCAAGTGTACAATGGAGTTTTCCAGAAGCTATGCAAGGTGTGAGATCACAGCTGACCAAATGTAGAAAATGATGAGAATCTAGGTATTTATTTTTCAGTTAAACCAGACATCTAGGAGATTTATAAAATATAAAACACTGCTAGTTTTCTAATTTGAGGGGTTTCTAAAAATGCTATTTTTCCTAAAAACATGCTTTACATAATCACAAAAAGATATATTATTATTTTAAATAAGTTAATGTTTTGGTATACATCTTAATGTGTCCTGAAAAGCTCATGTTAGGCAATGCAGGAAGATTCAGAGGTGAAATGCTTAGAGTCTGAGAGCTAAAACCTCATCAATGGGTTAAACCCTTTGATGGATTAAAAAGATGAATGGACTACTGGCTGGTAACTGTAGGCAGGTGGGGTGTGGCTGRAGGAAGTAGGTCACTGAAGGCATGACCTTGCCCTCTATCTTGTCCTTGTCCATGGCTCCAATCCCCTCCCCTGTTCCTTTCCTGGCTGCCATGAGCTGACAGCTTTCCTCTGCCACCACCCTTCCACCATGATATTCAGCCTCAGCAATGGATCTGGTCAACCATGGAAGCATTTTGGGGTCCTCAATAATCTTTAAGAATAAGAAGGGATCTGATTGCAAAAGATTTGAAGACTATTGATTCTATTCCAGTTGATATCTGTTTCCTCACCTGAAAGGAAGGGATGTTGATCATGATGCCCAATATTAAAAGAGAACAAAGAAGAGCACGTGGCCTGGCACCAAGGGAACAGTATTAAAAAACCAGCTCTAACTTTTTTTAACAGGCCACCAGACCTTGTGCAAGTCCCTCAACCCCTTTATGACTCAGTTTCTCAACTTTCACATGGAGATGATGATAACTTTGTCATCTGACAACTACCAGTACTTGTTCCTCTCAGTTCTACCTGTCAGAGTACTTTCAGAGTATTTGTCTCTTTATCAATTCCTGGCACTCAGTAGGAACTTAATAAATTTTGTTGAACAAATACAAGATTTAGGATGGTAGTAAGTCCTATACAAGTGCTGGGCATAATTATGTGGTTTCTCTGATGTGTTTCTAATATATCACTGTGGTACAGACACAGATCTGTGACTATTTCTGATGACAGAAGCTAAAGGATCTTGCTGGAGTATGGGGCGAACGCACCGAGCTCGTTGAGGTAACCACCGTGTTTCCAGTCCGCRGGCAGGGTCCCTGTGCAGTCCACCACGGGGCCTCTCTTCCCAGGATTCACGTTTTTGAGATTCACAAACAACTGATTGTTTTTTGACTGTTAAAAGCATAAACAATAAAACATTTAAAGACAAGATATAATGTGGCACAACATAGTGTTGCCTATCTGAGGCAAAGCAAGCCCAGGTCTCACCAGAGAAATGTTTGGGGTTAGGAGCTTTTAGGGGGTTTGGGGCTTCAGCCTTTGCACACATGAGTTTCTTTATCTCTAAAATGAGGATAATAATCACTATTGATTTATGGGATTGGTGTGAAGACTGAGTTTATATTTATAAAGTGGTTAGAAATGCTTAGCACATAGTATTAGATTGTTGCTATGTGACTCTTTTTGACTTACAAAATTAACAATTCCCTATGAGCCCACCCAAATAAACGAATATTGCTGTTACTATCGCAGAAGGGGGCTAGAAAAGGGTACTGAAAGGAAATCAGTTGGGGAAAAAAATGTTGGTGATTTTACTCAGACTTGATTTTGCTAGAGGGCTTTATGTTTTTATTAATGTCATTGCGAGAAATTATTCTAAAATCTCATTTAAAATTGGAAATATTTTTTTCCAGGAGGTATAATGACAGGGAGTACAGACAGGGAGACTGACTCATATAGCAGCTGCCTCACCCACTAGCTGGGCAGCCACTTGGAAGGGCGTGAAGCTCCCTGTTATACAGGATTTTGTCAGTAAACCTGAGATGCCATGCCATGCTCAGAGGGCTGTTTAGAGGAATTGGACAATATATATAAAACAGAGCAGCATGTGCAACCACAGCCCTGGCTAAACTTGCTCCTTTCCTCTTTCCCTGCCTGCCTTCCAACTTGAGCCCCTTCCTCTTACCTTGGCAATGGTCATCCTGTCCCTGTTGTTGACATGAGGGGATGTGGCACACTGGGTAAGGGTGTGGTAACTGGGATTGGTGAAGTAGTGGCTGTTGGGATTTCCACCGTTGCTGTGGGGCAGGGTTTCTGCAAGAAGAGAAAGAAATGGTAAAGATGGAAGGCTCCCTTGCATCTGTGGGAGAAAAGATAACCAAAATGACAGAGCAAATGTTTGGACTGCTTCCATATYGCAAGCTGGGCAGCATCCCCTCCTGCCCAGCCCACTCAGCAAGGCTCCTAGACGGAGCAGGCATCTGCCCTTCTACCTGCCTCTGTACACAAAGTGTGAACGCATCCAGAGACAGCTGCTTTCAGCTCTGGGGCTAGTAAGAGCTAGTACAGCATAATTTGAAGCTACTTCTGCTCCAACTGTCCTCTTTTAATTTTTAAACACTTGATTTTTTAAAATTGGGGTATTACGGTTAGAATTCATTGTGATGTACATGCATCTAACATAAGTTGGTCAACTTCATTAAACACTTGATATTTTGATATAATCATTCTGTACTGAAAATGTACTACTATGTAAATCAGGTACTTTACATATTCCCCCAGAATCATATTGATAAATATGTAACCAGCCTGAAATCCTTCATTAATTAATTGCTCCAAAATTAATAAGGATTTTACATTTTCAAATTCCTCASTTTAAACGGTTACTTCTTTTGATGGTTGAATGGGTCAATTATATATATGTATTCATTCCTTCATGGGGATTTGTGACAGAAAGGAAGATTTAGAAGAGCTTTCTAAAGCACTGCCTTGATTACTGATGATACCAAACAATGGTTTCAGATACAACTTGKTTTTTTTTGTTGTTGTTGTTGATGTTGTTGTTGTTGTTTTCAGTTAATGGCTCCTGTGGACTCAGAGACTGGAAGTCACTGTAGAAAAGACTGAAGGCCAGAGACACAAGACCTGGTCCACTTCCCTGATCTGCTCCATGACCTTGGTAAACTTGGCTCCTGACTCCTTCTCTCCCTTCTCACACGTGACAAGAGCTTGGGACTGGGTGCCCAGCAAAGCCTCAATTCCCTAAATCCAAAGTAACCACACAACGAGCCCAATTTAAAAAGCCTCATAGAAAATGACGGGGTGGTGGTTTTACTGCTTTTGAAATGTAAAACACATCTCTAGCAATTTACACCTGTTTTGAACATTCAGTCCTCCTAGGGAGAATGGACAGAAACAATGGACAACCAAACACCCAGTTTCAAAGACCCAGGACAGAAGCCTAACTTTGCAAGGAGTGAAAGGCCTCTCATGACTCCAGTCTTGCCTGAAATGGTGTAGTCTGCATTGATGACCCGCATGGCAGGAGTGTAGGTCACCGCTGGCATGCTTGACTCCTTCCCCTTCTGCTTGTGTCTATAAATAATGAACAACGCCAGTAGGAAGAGAACAACGAGGACAAGAATGATGATGCCCGCGATGGCCCCGATCTGGTAGGAGTCAGCAGGGAGGGCAGKGCTGGTTCGGCTTAGACTGTTCAAATTCCCAACGATTATAACACCAGCTAGGGGAAAACAGAAAAAAAGAATCGGATAAAGAGGACCATGTGCAGGATAAGTGCTTGATTTCTATTTACAAAAATCTCCTACTGTGCTAATGCCTGGATATTTTCAGTTCATGAAATGTTAATTTGGAAACTTCTGGAAAGAGAGCAGGAAAAGAAAAACATTCTTCACTTTCAGATGTTGTTGGTTTGTCTGTTCCCAGAGAAGGTCTGCTCTAAGCCTCAAAGAGACAGGAGTTGAACCCAAAGATTCAGCAGTAGGGTTTGGGAGCTACTTACATATTTCAAATTTAAACCTTAAACTGGTGATTAATTTGGAACAATAATTTATCTAATTGTGGCTTTGTTTTACTTATTATTCGTTATGGACCTTATACAGAGATAAATTACAAATGCCCAACTCTCTAACTTAATATTACATTTATCCTTGGTGTTTCCAAGAGTAATTTTCTTTCCAAGCTAGCATGACTCCATTATAAATCTAGTCCAAGACCTAATTCCAGAGCCTTTTACCTTAGAAGAGATCCCATTCTGTGAAAAGTTATTTTCTATGACATTAAGATTTCTCCTGATAAAACCTGATAACATCACGCTATAACATCACCCTTACTCATTAAACTCAAAATTCAGTTTTACTTAGTTCTTCTATCAAGTGAGAAAGCTTAGGGTTCCAATTTGAGAGTCGAGAAATTGGACATCTGAAAAAGTGACTCCGATGTTAGGAACTTTCCCTTTAGCTCCAAGGCTGCAGTTTCATCATCTAAAATGAGAAAAGTGGCCTTTTGTGTAGCTGCTTTCTGCTTAGATAAATGCTCCTGTGACTTTATGATTCTTAACACTAGAAGAACCTCCGATAAACTATTTTCCCTGAAACATAGAGATCTCAGGTTATTCTAGTGAGATGACAGTGCATTTATAATCATGATATGATAATGAGATATAACATCCAGCTGTGATTACAATCAAAGTTAAACTGTGAACATGTATGTTATTTTATGAAAGAAATTAAAATTTTCAAATATGAGAACTTAGATGGTCTGCAGAACTTCATTTGTCATAGGTCCATGTTTGTGGCCTTTCACCGCCCACCTGCTTATTGCCACCAGACAGCACTGTGTGCAGTAGGAGCAGAGGCCCCCTAGAAGGCAGCTCCAGAACCATCAGAAGCTCCTTCTCAGAGGCCCCATCCACCCCAGAGTAAGAACTGCCCGGGTGAGACTATGTATATCAGAAATGTTCCCAGGTGACTACGATCCACATCCTAGCTAAAAACCACAGACACAAGTTTCTTAAAGTGTTCAACATATGCATACAGTGACTTGGTCATTCCACTCCTAGCGAATCATCCAAGAGAAATGAAGTTCCATACAAAGGCTGGTACGCTGTTGTTCACAGCAACTTTATCTGTAATAGCCCCCTAAACTAGAAGCAATCCAAATGTCTACCTACAGGTGAATGGTCACCAAATTTCATTGTTGTCTATCCACACAATGAAATGCTACTCGACAACAAAAAGAATGGAACTATTGAGAAATAAAAGAACATGGTTTATTTGAAAATAGTTATGCTGACAAACATAGAGGACAGTATGATTCCACTTATATAAAATTCTAGAAAATGAAAACTCATTTATAATAACAGAAAGTAGATTAGTGATTGCCTGGGACCTAAGAACTAGTGGCAGGAAGGGGCACAAGGAAATTATTGAGCTATGGAACTTGTCATTATTATGATGATGGTTTCATGGGTATAAACATATTCTAGATTTTGTCAAATTGTATGCTTTATATAGGTGTGTCTTTTCATATATTATTTATACCTCAATAAAACTGAAAAAAAAATCATAGCCCCGATAGAATGTTTGTAGAATAACAGAACCTGGCATCAAAACTGTGACATTTTCTACATACCAGTTATGTGTCCTTGGGGAAATTACTCAACCCCTTTAAGATTTAGTTTCTTAATCTGTAGGACATCAACAATACAGCATCCATTCTAGTGAGTAAGTACATAGCCAGTGAGGATTACACTGGATCATAAGTGAAAATACCTGCCATTGTGTGTACCTGGTGGTCATGCAATACGAGGTTGCAGTTATTATTTACTAGTATCCTTACCTTGATCACATCGTGCCCCTTTCCATCCTGGGCTGCAGTAACAGGTCCCAGTGATGTGGTCGCAGGTGGAGTTGTTCATACAGTCACATATCTGGCGACAGCCATAGCCATAGGTTCCTGCAGGGCACTCTGGAAAAGGAGATAAAATCAGTGTGGCTCCCCAGTCTTGGGGATCTGAAGCAAGACTGTCTCTTACTGAATGTCCTTGCATATTAGGAGGTAAGTCCTTTCAGCAAGCTCCTGTTCAGGCAGACTTGTAATGCTCAGGGTGTCCCAGAGCTGGACAGCAGACCCTGAGTCTTGGTGGGTCTCACAGCTCAGGYTGCACAGGGCTAGAGATTGAATTACTCAAAATTACAGCTCCTGCCACTTCCGGCTGCTGTGCACACATACTTCCCTGATGCATATAGAAAGAGTCTGTGAAACTCCCATGAAACAGATAAACATAATCATAAAGAGGAATTTGAGATGACTCTAGCAGGCAAAATTATGGCTGGAAGGGGCCTAGACTGAGAAGCCAACTAGAGAAGCTTCCTTAAGAACACCCGTATTTTATTGGAGATTTAAGGATCCTTCTAAATACACATACTCACTTGGATCAGAGGGAGTAAAGTAGGGGAGGACAGTTTTGTTAATTTTCTTGGTAAGAACTTCATTTGTCAAAGAATGGTTCAGACTTTGGCTCTGCAAGTTGCAGTCAGACTAAAATAGTAAGATTCTTATGATGTATATAATAAGAATTATTATATACATGAATTTCAAAGAATAGCATAGATAAGTCAAACCTTATGACAAAATACTGGTGTTTTTCATAGAGTGAGCAGCAGGGGGCAATGTGTTATTATTCGCTGAGGGCTCTGCAAACACTGGGATTCTGTTTACAAATGAGCACTGGGACAAGTCTTCAAAAATACAGACATTTAAATTTGATGTTCACAGTCATCGTGGAAGCATTTAGAGGCTTTTATTTAATAAGACCTTAATTAATCAGTCATCTGGCATTCAAGTGGTGGTCAGTTTAGAGCCCATTCTGGTTTCCATGCCTATGYTTAAAAATKTACWCATATACACACATACACAAAGAGGGGTATACATGCCACCATGTGACTCAGTATCTGCTTTATGATTAAATGAAACAGATACAAAACTAAAACTGGGCTCTCACTGTCTTGAGCTGAACCCTTATATCACTCCTGTARCATTTGCTAGAGGGAAGGTGTGCAAAGGTGAGCTGAGATTAAGCACAGGTGACTGAGACCACCTTGCTGCCCAGAGGATAGTAGGTRCTGGTGGAGTGGAGGGAAGCAATGCTTTATTGCCAAAGTCCTGCTCTGCTGATCCACCTCTCCAGGTCACACTGCCCCTATAACCATGTCTTCCTTGCTGTGCCTTTGCTAAGACTGTACTCTCTGGTGAGCAGGAATTCTCCTGCACCTCTTCCTACCTCCTAGGTCTTGTACTATATATGAGTGTGCCCCCTATAGTTCTCAGTCCTTATTTACTCATCTTAAATACCAAATGAAAGTTATAGAGCAAAGGAATGATAAGCTCATTTGAAATGCTCAGTTCAAGGCTAAACCTGTGAGCAGATGCATAGCTGGGGGGTAAAAATGGAAAAACAAGGATAAGGAATTCCAAYAGAATATGTTCTGAGTGGAATTTTTWAAAAATAAGGTAATATGTCATCTTGAAGGTTAAGACTATGATGAGAAGTTGTTAGTGGAAATAGTATAAAAGAACCRTGTAGAAAAAGCAGTCAAAAGGGTRCAACATTTGCACAGCCTTGTTCCTGAACCAGCTCCTGGGGCTGGTACTGAGCCCTTAGTCCCGCTCCCCATCTAACACCCTCACCTCCAATTCGAGCCTGGCCTTGCCTCAGCCATGAAGCAAGCTTGACTGCCTCTGAGCAGCCACATTCCAAAAATAAAAGAGAGAGGAAGGGAGAGCCAGAAAGAATAGAATGGAAAATTTGAATTCTGYCCTCATCCTTGCAGTCACACCTCCTCCACCCAGAGTACTGAGTGATTTGCTCAGAAGAAGCATTTGCAGGGGAAGACAATAGCAAGGATCCCAGGGAGGAGAAGTCACCTGTGCTGGTAAGTAACCAGCCATCAGCTCAAACCACATAAAAATTGCAATAATTCTGCTCTTTAATATTTCCAAACATGTAGGAAAATTGACTCCAAGGGAAAGAATTCCTGTCTAGTGACCTCATGCTCTCATACTCACTCTGCTCACAGTGCCTCCCCATGAATCCCGTGCGGCAGGTACACTGTCCAGAGATGTGGTCGCAGTCGGCTCCATTTTGACACTGGCATATCATTGCACAGTCCTTGCCATAAAACCCCAAAGGACATCCTGTGCAAGGAGGGAAGATAGCTGGGGTCTGAAGGCTGCTGAGGAAAAACCCAGCTCCTGCCTCCAACACAGTTGTGTTTAAACTTCAAGGCTACTGAACCATTTGAGAATAAAGACAGTAGTGCATATGTCAGCTTGTCACAGGGCTTCTTAGAAGTTCTAAGAAGGGGTCTTGCAAGTAGGTTGTAATTCACAAACAGGAGGCAGAAGAGTTCCATACCTATCAGTGTGACTATCACTGGTACTCCTGGAATACAAGACTTGTGTTTTCTAATAGCATCCCTTGAAGACTGTGCATCGAAGCTGTGGAGTATTCTACATACTAGCTATGTGACCTATGCCATTTCTTCTCATTCTTCACTCAACTACTTTAAATCCTGGTCTCAAATTCCATGGACTAAATTATTAATTAWTATGTCACAATAATTAATCATATAATTATTTTAATTATATTAAAATTATCTCCATGCTTTTACTTGTAGTACATACAGAAAGCCTCCAATTCTGCTACTAGTTTTGTCCACTGTATCAGTAATTAATTTAGACAATATTATCAACTTCACCAAAGAGGCGTGGTTGAATGCTTAACTTAAAAACAACTGTGTTTCACTGGTACCTTGAAAAAAGCAATAAGTCTTCACACTGCTCCCCAATTTCCAAGGCTTAGAACACCAGGATCCTTGGGCTAAAGACACGCACAAGCTCTGTTGGCTCACATGGGCTGGCAGCTGCCCTGYAGGAGTGTTTGGGGGCTCTCTGACACACAAGATGCTTCGGTACAGGCTGATTCAATGGCTGTTTCCAAATGTTACATCTGCCTTTTATTTTCCTGTTTTCTTATGGTGAGACCTAATGAAAGCCTGACTTTCAAGAACAGAGAYAGCACACAGATGCCAGCCTGTGAGACATTCCCCAGTGTCATGTGTTTATTTAGCACCTACTATGTACTAGATTCTTTTCACACATTCTCTCACTTAATGTTTACAGCAGCCCAGAAGTGCATGGATGATGTTCCCATCTTACAATAAGAACCAAGTCCCAAGTACTCTGTCACATAGGTAGCAAATGGCAGAAAAGCAGGACCATGATACAAACACAGGGAGGTCTGTCTCTAGATCCTATGGGGCTCCCAATATATCATATTACGTCCACTTAAAAAGGTCCTCTGTTTGAAGCAGACCCCAATTTTTAGAATTATAAATTATAGCCTATAATTACTTTAAGGAATTCAAAAATATAGATGTATAATCTCTGGAGAATATGTTTGGGACAACCTCTTTCCTTGCCATTTATCCCTTTCAAATCTTGGTTAAATGGCTACTCTCCCTTCTAGAAAATTTGAAAAGTCTTGCTCAGACTATTGTCTAATTATGTTCACTAATTAGTATTAAATAAGAATCGCCCAATTTCTGACTTGTCTTTCCTCCTCAGTTCATTGCTGGAATTTTAAATCATATGTTATTAATAATAACTATAAAACTATAATTATAAAGTAATAATATTCCTCTTTTGTCTTCTTCACTCTATTGAAAAAATGAGGTAAAAAATTTTTTTTCAAATGATTCTCAGCTATAGAACACTTTGTACAGAATAGTCTATTATGCTGTTATGGTGTTGATATGTGGTATCCCCCAAAAGTTCATGTGTAAGACAATGAAATTCAGAGGCAAAATGATTAGGTTATGAGTATTGTGACTAATCAGTGGATGAATCCACTGATATGGATTAATTGGATAGTAACTGTAGGCAGGTAGGGTGTAGCTGGAGGAGGTAGATCACTAGGACTGTGCCTTTGGGGCCTTTGTCCCTGRTGAGTGGAGCTCTCTCTGCTTCCTGGTGCCATGTCCTGAGTTGCTTTCCTCCACCATGCCCTTCTGCCATGATGTTTTCTGCCTTATCTCAGGCCCAGAGCTATGGAGTTGGCCAGCCATAGATTGAACCTCTGAAATTGTGAACCAAAATAAACATTTCTTTTTTAAGGTGTTCTTGTCAGGTATTTTGGTCACCGTGTCACAAAGATCACTAAAATAGATGCTAAAAAGTCTCATGGAAGAAAAAATGGCTAAGACAGTATAGGACACAGAAGGTGACAAAGAACTAGAACAGTGTCCTCAAAACATGGTCCTGGAGTGACACTATCACCAGTCAGCAGACAGGCAAATTCTCAGATCCCAGCACAGACCTACTGAATCATTAACTCTGGAGGAGAGACCAGAATGCTATTTGCCGACTCCTCTGAGCAACTGTGAATCTCACTAAAGTTTAAGAACCACTGAATTCCCTCTTCTCCAATGGCACAAAGTAAATTAGGAAGTGAGGCTTGTTGTCTTCCTTACCTTTCCAACCTCTTATCACTTACCCTGGCATGCACTATTAGAATAAGTGATAGGGAATTTKCATGATATAAATAGGGTCTGGCTGAAGGAGAAAAGAGAAAGAAACTATATACCATTCCACATAGCATTATTCTACCTGATGTCCTGATATAACCTAGAGGCAGAATACTTGGAAAGTGGTATCTCTTAACTGCTTAGAGAAATTCAGATATCTAGAGGTCATTGGGAAGATGAAGTGCTCCAAGAAAAGACCCTTGGTGAGCTTTGGTGGTACAAAGGGTGAGGCTGTTTATTCTTGGATATGGCTCCCCTTASTGGGCCTCAGAAGGCTCATTGCTTACTCTGAGTGCAGTAGAGTCCCGTCCAGCCAGGAGTGCATTTACATTCCCCATCATAGGCACTGCAGAAAGCCCCGTTGTGGCAGTTGCAAGTGTGGATGCAGTTTGGGCCCCAGTGGGCAGGTGGACATGCTAAAACCATAAAAAGCATAGAGAGGCATGTTAGAGTTGAGACCAGCACCAAGCAGAAGGAATTCCATTCACCCATGCACAATTCCTCACATGTGAAAATTAGAGGTATACAGAGGACTAAAATAACATGTTAAACCCACAATTTAGTTGTACATGGTGGCTCATCCTAGTAACTTGGGAGGCTGAGGCAGGAGGATCGAAAGTTTGAGGTCAGCCTTAACAACTTAGCAAGACACTATCTCAAAATAAAAAATAAAAAGAGCTGTGGATGTGACTCAGTGGTAAAGCATACTGGGTTCAATCTCCAGTACTCCCCCCCACAAAAAAAACCCTCACAATTTAGTGAAGAAAGCCCAAATTCTGCACTAAAACTCAAGATGCAATGCTGACTGCAACCATGACCATCATTCCTGACAGACACATTCATTCAAAACTACAGAGTAAGGTGATGGCAAGAATCATCTCAAATTTACAGATTTGGTTATTAAACAAACACACATTCCACTTCTACTATGTGGCAAAACTGTTCTGGGCACAGGGAGATAGCAGAGCACAAGACCAAGTCCAAGGCAAACCACCCTCTGGATGCTTATATTTGAGTAGAGGAGGCAGCAAACCAGCCCATCACTCAACCAACTGAAAAAACAATGATGGTAAGTGTCATGAAGGAAATAAAATCGCAAGGAGGACAAGAAGGTTGGGAGCTACTTCTTTAAAAGAAGCTTGTCCAAGGAGAGGCCATTCCAGCAGAGATCAGATGGGGAATGTTTGATTTGGAGACCTTCTTGTCTCCAAATCAAAATGCATGCATRTCTCTGACTTCGAAATCCTGCATTTGTCAGTGTGTTCCAGGGTTGTGGCTATAGGCTGGTTTTCCACCCTAAGGCTGCAATTAAACTCTTAACTGGAAGAAGCAGAAAATAATAACTCAGAATCATTAGGGGTCACTGCCAATGGAACAGCAATCAATAAGTCAGATAATGGAAGATCATGAGGTAAAATAATTTGATTTACACCCCCCCCCAGATTTTTATTCATACAAATGCTTCAGGAACATAATTTCTTACAAGGATTACATGTAATTTATATAGGGTTACCCCATAGGGAATATGGACCAATAAAAACAATAAATAATCTGAAGTAATTTTTAAAAATGAAAAAAACCTCCCATAATTGTGTAAATCATTTGTGTTCAAGAGTAAGGGAAAAAAATAGCTGATGCTCAAGATCTAGAGTGAATACTAGAGTAGATTTTTGAGGACAACACTCTTTTTTTTTTTTACAGAGGATTAGACTAAGGTCTAATAAAAGTTAACAGTGACTTATCCAAGGTCACACAGATTAATAATAATATCCACTATTTGTTTGGTTAATACAGTTCTTTTCTTCTAAGGCCATAGAAAAACTCAGGGTGGAAATGATTAAGCCTGTAGCTCATCTGACATTTGATGCAGCATTCTTTACCTGAAATAACTGATTCCTTAGATGATACTTAATACATTTTTGTAAACCCTTTTATGTTCATAATAGATTTTAAAAAATTTTAGTTGTAGTCAGACACAATACCTTTATTGTATTTACTTATTTTTATGTGGTGCTGAGGATCAAACCCAGCACCTTACATGTCCTAGGCAAGCGCTCTACAGCTGAGCCACAACCCCAGCCCCTCATAATAGATTTTTTTTAAGGTAAACTACTTGCATTAGGCTTTACTCCCTATAGTGGTTATAATCAGAGAATGGGAATAAGAATCAGAATTTTTATATTTTAAAAAGTAAATGGAGAGAAAGGGCTTGAAAAAAAATCATTTTACCAAGGACACCTGTCCCTTTAAATGCATCCCTTTAATTTTTCAAAGTCTCTGCTTTCACTGTGTGGACTTTTCTCTTTCTAGACAGGTTGAAGATCAGCCAAGAAGAAATATTAGATGGTTCCACAGAGTCCATAAGGGAATCAATGAAGTCAATGATCCCCATGAGAAGCAAAGGCTTTTGCCAAATAAATCAGCATCCTCTAGAGTGATTATGGGAACAGGAGACACGATTGTCTCCATTCATAGTGGTGTTCCCATTTTTGTTCCCTCTAGCACATTCCTCCTCCAAATGAGGAAGTGACCAACTTCCAAAATAAAGAGTACTCTAAATGGAGCACAGTATACCCATCATGCAATGGCAATGATATTGGGGCTTGTTTTTCTCCCTAACTGTGTCATTCAGTTTCAATATCTGTTCCTCTACCCGTCCCTGTGTCATTCTGAGTTGGATTCCTGCAACTGATGGTAGATTTTAAATGTTTATTTGAGTAGTATGCTGTTATTTCTGAAGTGCTTCCCCCCACCACCAAACAGTGAAGCACACACCAAGGAGTTATATCTGATAACACTTCACCAAAGAGCTACAGTGGGCTCTGCCTCCTTACTCTTCAGAAATGGGAACAGCCTGCCCTACTCTGGGAAAAAACAACATTGAGAAGAAAATCTTCAGACAAAATATATTGCTCATCAATTAATATTTGCATATTATAACTATGGAGTCTGAAATAAGTAGCCAAAAAAACCACCATGTAAAATCAGTACCCAGTCATTGTTTGATTTGCTTTATGTGCATGGTGAGTGGGTTCAACGTAAACTGAGTATGTGCTATGAAATTTATAGTGAATGGAATCAGAGTACAGCTGCACATATGTTATCCTTGGTCAAAAGTTGAGAACTAAAAGTTGCACTGACCCTTTCAAAGCATTAACCATTTATGGTCAATGGCACATTTTCATGACATTGACGATCTAAAAGTCATCTACACAGTTCCTCCTAGGGTCACACAATCCCTGTCTGAAATAACAGTGGTATGGGGTAGGGTAAGGGGGTAGGGGTAGCAAAGGTGAAGTTGAGCATATGAGCTGCAGTGAGGTGGGTGGTCTGCTCAGGAGCCCAACAGGTTTCTAACGTTCACCTCATTTAAATTCTTCTTCATGTGCCCATAATTAACTCTCCATATAAAAACAAAATAAAGAGATAGACTTCTAAATACGCTTATTTTAAAAAAAAAAATCAATGGATGGTGAGTCATTGAAAAGCAAATAGGTAAATTATTATATATTTAGGTTTTCCCCAAGACATCATTTGGATTTAGATATAGAATCATTGCAGAGAATTCTTAATGGGAAGAAAGGAATTCAAAAACTAGAATGCATTTTATAACTGGTCACATATTCTTTCCTGATTGTACAAACACTCATAAGTAAATCCTAAGGCACCTGAAAACAAACAATGGGTAATCAGTTGTTCTCCAACAAGACTTACGTTGAGAGCAATCACTGCCAATCCAACCTGGGTAGCACTGACAAGACCTGTCAATGGGGTTGCAGGTACCGTTGTTGGTGCAAGTACAAATCCCTGCACAGTTCTTCCCAAATCTGCCACTGGGACACACTGTGGAAAAGTCACATGTTAGTAATTCACATCACAACCCATCTCACAGAACCCTAAGCCCCTTAAGGACAAGAAACGACTTCAAAGGTCACCAACCCAGCTGCCCATTTAGTAGCTGCCTCTGCTAGCCAGCGTCCCTCATCTTGAACGGGCTTGTTTTTACAAACACATGAGCCAAAGACTCTCATTAAGGCATCACGAACCAGGAGACCTCATCTCATTTCTAGAAATCTGATTTCATGGCTTCTCGCTCAGGGAGTCAACATCCTTCCTCGTATTGATTTTTCATGGGAGGGTGTTTCCAATTAAAACTGGAGAGTAACATCGTTCAGAGAATAAAGAGCTTTGGCTGGCATGGCAAGCCCATGTTTCCAAAGCTCCAAGGCATTTCAGAAGCTGCAGACACAGCATCCTAGAGGGCTTCAATGGCTGACAGCTGCAACGGTATCCTTCAGGAAGTCTGAGAACAGAGCATGGGGCTTGCTCAACTCCACACATCTCTTTCCAAAACCTCCATGCCTCACCTTCATTGCAGAGGGCACCCGTGAAGCCAGGCAAACAGTCGCAGAGGCCTGTGATGTGGTGGCATGGTCCGCTACTGTGGACACACTGGGGACATGTCTGGCTGCAGCGATGCCCGTAAAAACCAGGGGAGCAGACTGAAAACACAATAGAAATCGTTACCTTTCTGAGATGCATTTACCTCATATTCTACATCAGAAGCTAGTTAAAGATTTTGAGGTTTAAAAACCTCAATGAAACAATAATACTGAGAATTTTCCAAGTATAAAACAAGAACAAGGACAAGAATGATGTAACTTTTGAGGAAGGAAAAGAAGCCACTAAACTGAATTGCTCCAGGGCAAGCGAATGGCTTAGTCCTTTTTATTTTTCTATTAATTTTCTATCATTAGTTCCAGGCCAGGCAGGGAGCAGGGACACAAATAATTTTTTGTTGAACAAATAAAGAAATGAAAAAAATTAGATACTAGTAAGTTCTAAATAAGCTGCTGATCCTTTTATTCTTTAGGAATCAGTATTGGTAATACATAGATCTATAGACAAAATTAGATCTTTCCTCCTCAGAATGACCCAGGTCCATGAAATCAAGTAAGCAAAATGCTACGTTCTTAGGTGCTTCCCAAGGCTTTAATCAGATTTAAACAGAGGGTAACTGCATGGACTCTTAATGGTAACAAAAGAAGCAACTTAAAATGTTAGAACAGTGTATCTTCTAATTGGGTATAGATTCTTTCCTGATAACCTTTACTAAAAGATGTAGTAAAATGTTATAGATCAATTCTTAACTTAAAAATTAGTAAATATGGTAAAATTTTATAGATCATTTCCTAACTCAAAAACTCTATCAACCAATGTCAACAGTCCCAATTTTTAACTTTGCAATTCTCTTTTCCCTGTAGCACTGACGTTAAGATTACTAGCAGATGTATGATTTGCCTCAAGGTTTGGCTGATGTTGACTTCTGGTAATTGAGGTAAGACCAATGCCAAGTTGCTGAATAAAATATTTACAGGTCAGTGGATTTCTGGAACACCATTTGCAAGCTCTCAGGAAAAAAAAATCAAGAATCACATCCGGTTTCTGGTGCCCATGTGGCAATGAAATCATGACTGGGAAGAAATGGTTAAAGCCCCATCTGTTAGGTTAGTCCTGAAGGGTGAAGAGAATAAAGTTGTGGGGAAAGTTTTATTGGGGACAATTCTGCAAAGGAGAGGGGACTATTACACCCTCCTCTGCCCTTGGCTGCAACAGAACATCACTATACACTGAGAGGAGAAAGAGAGGTCATTATTTTGTATCTCGTGCCCAGGGAAGGACAGATGGAAATTATCCCTCTAATGAGACACTTACTTCGCTGACAAGTGGTACCTCGGAATCCTGGCGCACACTCACAGATGCCGTCATCTGGGGAGCACGAAGCCCCGTTTTTACAGTAGCAAGGCAGGGAGCAGTTGGGACCCCAGCGTCCCTCAGCACACACGCTATCACAGTGTACACCTGAAACAAGGCACAGGGGGCAGGGCTGAGGGAGAGACCACGTGGGGGCTTCTGCAGACGCTAATTAAACAGGAGGACTAAGTGCACAGTGTTAAAACTGAGTATCCTGGGCAACAGATTATCATCTTATCAACACCCAAACACAGAAACATCCAGTGTTAAAATAACATCCAGAAGTCTTCTCTATGCAGTCACAAGGAAGGAATAAAACACCTTTGCTTTATCGATTTTTCTTCTTTAATAGGAAGGAAAAACAGGGAAGCCCAGGGCTCTGTCTACTGAAGGTAAAATTGATCAAAAATACTATTGATTTTCTTCTTTCCCCCATTTTTTTTTTTGTTTTCACAGAGACATGAACAAAGTGTACAATGATAAGGCACAGCACAGAGTAGCTAAATTGTTCTACCTCGAGAAAACCCTATTGTGGAGTAAACAAATAAACACGGTCTTAAAATATTTTGTGGATAGATTGTGCAGAACAGAAAAAATACGCTAACACTTTTCACCAAATTCCTCTTTAAAAATTTAATCTCACATTGAATAGAGGCAAAGTTTCACATTTTCACAATTATTGCTTATAGCTATTAGCTAAGCTATTGATAATTATGAAATGGTCACCGATGTTGAATTCTTGTTTTGGAAATAGAAAAACTTCAGCATCAATCATGAATGAATATATAAATGTCCAAAGGAAATATCAGGAAAAACCAAGATTTCAAAAAGGAGAATAAAACTGGTTTTATTTGAAGTACATGGAAGTCTCTCACAAGGTTGCATTTAAAGTAAAACGAGGGCCTCTTTTTTTTTTTAAGTCAGAATTCTCCACAACTCAGAGAAATGCCCTTCCCATTGAAAGGCAATGAGTTACAATTAGTAGTGAACTGGCGACTGCTGGCCTCAGACCAAATGGAAACACGGGAAGAACAAGCACGCACACCCTCCAGGATTCCAGAACACGATCAGCTCTAAGGGTGCTGAGCAGGCCATGTTCTTCTGCATTCCGGTTTTTGCTTCAAAAGCAATTAAGAGAAAAGTCATTGTGGCCAGAACCTTAACACGGAGCACTCCAACACTCCAAAGTGGGTGCTGCTAGTTGGTACACAGCCATTTCTTCTGAATAGTAGTTTCCCACTTTTTACTGTTCCTGCTTTGCTCCTTCTGAAAGTCTCCCACGTGGTAAAGTCCGTTAAGTAGGCATGAAAGCGCACAGACCCCATTGTGTCTAACTTGAATCAACAATAGACTTCATTTCAGCTTGGAATGCTGGCTGAAGAAAGGAGACCGGGTCCCTTTGTAAAGCGGATTGGGATTTAAATGTTCCCCATAAAATAAAATATGTGATCTGGGCCCACTGGGTTATTTTTCTCTCATGTTCAAAAAATATATTATCTTTCAAGTCTCTTTGAGAAAGCTGTAAGGGAACTGCAAACTCTACCCTCTCCAAATGTGATACACCAGCAATGGGATCTTAAGCCATTCATTCTAGCAGAAGCATCAAATACACTGAGTGATAGTCCACCTCATAAGGAAGCTGCAAACCTAAGCTTTGTTTTGTGAATGTAAAGAAAGTATCAACAGGTCTAACCAACTGGGCTTTACTCTCAGTTCCAGAAATTCAGGTCCTAATCTCTGACTATAACCAGGCTCCTGTTTAACAACAGCTAAGATGGAGACCACCGCTTCACAGAGATTCAGACAACCCTAGGCATTTTAGTCTGGAACCATTAAGGGAAATGTCAGTAAAAAGTTTAAAGAAGTATAATGATGCTGCCACATCAAAATTTATAACAGCTCAATTCACAATAGCAAAGCTATGGAATTAACTTAGGTGCCCTTCAACAGATGAATGGTTAAAGAAAATGTGGTATATATACACAATGGAATATTACTCAGCCTTAAAGAAGAATGAAATTATGGCATTTCCAGTAAATGGATGGAACTAGAGACTGTTATACTAAGTGAAATAAGCCAATCCCTAAAAGCCAAAGGCCAAATGTTCTGATATGTAGATGCTAACTCACAGTAAGCAGAGGTAAGGGAAAGGAGGATGGGAATAGGAAAGACTGAATTGGACATAACTTTCCTATATTCTTATATGAATACATGACCAGTTTAACTTCACATCATGTACAACCACAAAAATTGCAAGTTATACTTCATATATGTATGATATATCAAAATACATTCTACTGTCATGTATAGCTAAAAGAACAAATTAATTTTTTCAAAAGAAAAAAATAAGTTTGATGATATAGAAGTTAAGTGATTATCCAGTTAATCTGATAATAATCCTGAAAATTAGTACTGATTTTTGATACTTTTTTGGTGGAGTGGCAGTTGGGAGATTGAGATTTAGCCATTTAGTTTATCTACTACTTGCCAAATCATTACTTACACATTCCATTCTTATGGGGTAGAGTTCATTGCTGGTCAAAGGCATCTGCTGCTCTTTTACATTATAGACATCATGATTCACACACAGCTTAGCATACTCTCAGTCAGAGCATGTTAGGAAAAATGACAACAGGCCAGATTGGCACTCTGAATAAAGTGATGCTTTATCTCATATCTGCTTCCTCTTCCCTTAAGAGGTTTGTCCAGCTACTTAGCATAATCATCAGTCATAATCAACTTTATCAAGGTAATTTCCATATAAGCAACAAGGCAAGGAGATCTATTGCAAAGGTAAGCTTGTCTCAGTGATTTACCCATCATTTCTTTCCCAGAGACTCAATTCTAGGGGTCATCTATCAACCTTCAGCCTCTAATCATATCAGCATATTTCAGCAGAACCAAGCTTACTTTTAAATTACTTTTATTTTTAGACTGCAAATAAATCTTTCCTTTGGATATAAATTATAAACATTCTACTATCAAACACTTCTTAAAAATTCAAACCCTTTTAATCTAGCATCAGTAAAAATAAGTCATCATTTTGCTGATATTAATGCTTAATTTCTTTGAAAACAAATATCAGGTATGTCTCTCCAGGGGTCAAGTACAGCAAAAGATGGAAAGCCGACTTCTTCCTTATCCTTTCTCCCACAGCTACTCCTCCCCCATGGTCCCTCCCTGCCTCTGCCACCTTGCCTTCCATTTTATGTTCTGGGAAGGACAAGATAAATCTATTATTGCTGAGGTGTGCCTGGTCTGGAGAACATGAATATTTTAAGAGAGCACACATTTTAGGAGCCTAAGAAATAAATATCTAATTGTGGAATTTCCGGCGATGAGGTTCATGGTGGAGTCTTTGGTAAGTGCTTCTCTATGATACACCTAAGTATAAGGCTGCTGATTTGACTTCCATGTCAGAAAAATGCTGCGGTGATGTGTGTTCTATGATAAATAGTTGTAAGTCTGTGTTAACCATAAAGTTTTGGTTCTGTGTGTACGTGTGTCTCTTATTCCTTAATTATTTCTATGGGTCTCATCTTATTCCTGTCCAATTTTGCTAAAGTCTTATAATACATCTTTTTGTTTCCTTGATTACCAAAGATGGAGAATAGATTTTAAGTTAATAAATATTCAAGAAGTCCAACCAGATGCTGGCTTGCTGGTGAGACGTTCTTTAGGAACAGTAACTCCAGGGCAATAATGGCCACAGAGATATCTAGCCTTGTCTAGGGACAATGGCCAGGGAAGGAGGTGGCTTGTCAAAGTGGGAAGAGGGCTCTGGGCTAAGGAAATAGAAGGTACAAGGTTTAGAGGCCCAAAGAAGGATGTGTCTAACCTTTAGGAATTGCAAATTTCAACTGAAACTCAGGAGCTGGGATGAGCAGGTGAGGTGGGTGAGTAGTCAGGCCTTGGCCACATTGAGGGAAACTAAGAACGCCATGATGTGGACTGTGAGCCTCCTCCTGGTGTTACCAAAGGAACAATTTTTAAGAAGGATAGAGTGTAACTACATTTGTGTTTTATAGGAGGGCAGAAGATGGTGTGCAGAGGGGATCTGAGAACTCTGTAAGAGAGGTTGGTGCTTGTCCATGGATTGTGTTACATTAATATTTGAATCGATCAATAAGCCCAGTTCCTCTTCTCTACGTGATATTCAGGACTCCTTTCCAATTGGGGGAGCAACCACAGCATGTTTTGCTTCCCTGAAGAAGTTTTTATTCAAATCAGGAAGCCCAACATCTTCCAGGGTAAGTACCTAAGTGGTCGCTCTTTCCAGCTACGGAGGTAGAAATGGCTGACCTCCTTGTTTTTGAGAGGATAAACTTCCAGGAGCTCAGGCCTGTGTGTTTTTCATGTTGAACCAGATTAGAGCAATGAAAAATTATGAGATAACTTAACAAAATTTCCTTGGAATGTTTTTTTTTTACAAAAACATTAACACTAATTACCTTAGGAAATAATTTCCCAAAATATTTAGAAGAAGCAGCAAAACGGGAAGGGGGTAGCTTTAAATTTGTGGAGACCTATGGTTCAATAGAAGCATCTTTTTTTCCCTGATAAATGTTCCAATGCTGATAAGGAGATCTGTGAGGAACTGTTTTTGCCAGGATGGAGGACAAAGAGCTCTTTGATAGCCCTCATGAGTTGCTAGGCGATGGCTGAGTGATCGTGATAAACTTCAGCTAAGCAGCTCTAAAGAAATGTCCGTGCATTTAATGCCTGATGCATTATGCTGGGGGGCCTCAATGTGAAACCAGCATTCAGCAGGCATTGCTTATGGTATGAATGCAGTAAATAGTTCATCTGGGGTGTCATTATTTCCTCTCTTAGACATACAACCCCCAGTCCTTAATTGTTTATATTGTTTGATATTGCTTAATTGTTTACATTCCCTAGGCCAGTTTTGAAATATTTGGTGATGTTGATCCTGGCCAAAAAACTTTCAAACATATATTAAAGGGAGAGATGTGTTAATAATAATTGTGTTTGATAATTATAGAAGGGAAGTACTCTAGCATTTAGATGTAACACTTTTTCTGCTTTTCTGTGGCATGAGAAGTGATTCACCCTGTCTCCACCTCTATCTGTAGTGTCTACCCTGGTAG